TTTATTTATTTTATTTATTTTATTTATTTTATTTATTTTATTTATTTTATTTATTTTATTTATTTTATTTATTTTATTTATTTTATTTATTTTATCATTTAGTAGCTCTTCTCGTATGTTATTATTTAAAAAAAATATTTATTAAAATATTTTATTATAAAAAAAAGTATAGAATCTAGTTAAATTTAAAATAATTATTTATTTTTATCTATATCTCATACAGAATAAAAAATCTAAAAATAATAATCTATCTCTATTAAATATTCTTTAACTCTTATTAGACTTGTATAAAGCTAATATCTTTTTTTTTAAAATAAATTTAGATTTATTTAAATAACTCTATACTTAAAATATTATATGACTTTCTTTATCAAGAATTTTTTCTAAATATTAATGATGGTAAATATATACAAGATATTAATAATAAATTTTAGTTATTAATAAGTATTATATAAAAATAACTAATTTTTATATCTTTAAAGATATAAGATTCTATAAAAATATATAAATTTTTAAAGGATTAGTTCAGTCACATTAATAAATTATATTAGATCTATATTATTATTCAACGCCGTATAGTTATAGATAAGATAAATTAGATAGATATAAAGATTAAAAAGAAAGTTTCTAAGAACCCTAATATTAAGAAAAAATAGGCTATAATTAAAAATAATTTAAAAAAATTTATTATATAAAAAAATCTAAATAAAAAAAAATATTTAGATACTTTTTTTAAATATATTTTATTTTTATTTTTTTTTCTTTCTTATTATATAAAACAGAAGTATGTACTTTAGAAGAATAATAAAAATTATATAATTAAATATAAATTTTTCTTATTTAGAATTTAATTATATGTTAGAATAATATAAAAAATTTAATATATTTATTATATTTATATTATATATTAATTTAATTTTTATTAACACATATACTTACTATTTTATTATTTATTATCTTTATTATTACTATTATTATTATTATTATTATTACTATTATTACTACTATTATTATTACTATTATTATAATTACTATTATTATTACCACCATGGCTGCGTACATATTAAATAATTAAAATTAAATAATTAAGCTTCTTTTTTTTATTCTAATAATCTTAATATATATATATATTATATATATATATATATAGAGAACAAAGCAGAATACAAAAACTAATATTATATTATAATTTTATATAATCTTTTTTTTATTAATAATTATAGCTGTGGCCTTTCTTTCTATAATATATAAAAATACTTTATCTATATATATAAATAATTTTTATCTAGATAAAATCTAGTACTCCTTATAGAGACACTAGAACTATTAAGCTTATACATTTATAATTATATATAAAAAATAATAGCTGCTATAAATAGCTAAGATATTAAATTTTATTATAGCTAAATCTAAGCTTAATAATTTAAGATTTATCAGTCCTTATATATAAATATCTATTTTATTTAATCTTATAAAAATTATCTTTCTTCTCTATATATAAAATATTATAATTATCTAGATATAATAACTTTTTTTTATATTACTACTTATCTAGTGTATAGGGGGGAGCATGTACTAATTATAAATAATTTAATAAAAAATTAAAATACTCTATATAGGATAAAATATAGATAAATATATAAAAAAATATTAGTACTACTACTATAAGTAGAAAATTAATAAATAAAATTATATATAATTCTATTCTTATAAATAAAAAAGAAAAATATAACAGAAATCAGCTAATTCTCATAGAGAAGGCTAGGGATAAGAATAATTTTATTATTTTATAAATATATATAATTTATTAATACTAGTACTAGTATCAGTACTAGTACTTCTAGTTATATAGATTCTATATATAATATCTAAGTAAGACTTACATCTTTACGTGGTATTTAGGACTAGTAGTTATTTAAATAGTAAAGTTAAGTAAGTCATATGTATAGCTTCATTAGATAAGATTAACTGATCTAATAGATTTTATATTAATTCTGCTGGTAGTAAACACTAAAAAATTGCATTTGCAGGATGGCTGCTATTAACCGCCGTACGCGTATGCTGCAGGGACTTGTTTTCTCCGAGTGGGGGACCCTCCACATCGCTTAGTGCAGGGTCTGACCGCGTGGGGATTGGAGAGAGGACAGGGGACAGACCTGAAAAATCCCCCGATAGACTTAGAGATAACCATCAAACTTGACCATCGGAAATCTCCGCTCGTTTCCACAATCTCATTATGTACCACTCTGTCGAAGTATCACAAGCTTATCACAACAGCCAAGCGGACCCGTAGACAGCCAAGACCGGTTATCAGACTCCGGCAGCACATTCGATTAGCTAACAGAATGCCTCCTCCTGCACCCTGAGCCTAGACTCCGATGCAGGAAAGACCCTTCTTGCCAATGCCGACAGGGCACCCAATCCCTCCTTCCCGGGGATCTTTCGCGAACCCCGCCATGGTCGAGTCATCATCATAACGCGCCTTTTCCGCGGGCGACCTGCTGATTGCACCATGCTTGTATTTACCCCTCCCGTATAGATAACCCAGATTCTCCTCACTTCTTTTGCATCTCGTCGGTGACATCTACTTTCCGTCCACGATACGCACAGTCATGCAGCCTCCTCGTGCTTTTCTGCCCTTGCTGGCCATGTCGCTAGCCCTTCCAGCCTCGGCTGAGAAAGTGCTCGGCGCCTATATCTTTGCTCGTCACGGTGATCGGACAGCCAAGGTGCTGAAGAACACGGAACTGACCGATCTGGGCTACAGTGAGGTCTTCGCTACTGGTAGTTACTACCGAAGCCGCTACATTGACTCGGACTCCACCCTGCAGATCCAAGGCATCAGCGAGGATATCGTCAAGCTCAGTCAGATCAGTGCCTCATCGCCGTCGGATAATGTGCTGCAGAACTCCGCCACGGGCTTCTTGCAGGGCGTCTATCCTCCTGTTGGCGCGTCGGCGAACGAGACTTTGGCTGATGGGCGGATCGTCGACTCGCCAATGGATGGCTATCAGTTGATTCCACTGGCTTTGACTGATTCGGGGTCGAACAGTGAGGATACCACTTGGCTTCAGGACGCGACAAATTGCCAGAATGCCGAAGTTAGCAGCAACAATTACTATAGTTCATCGCTATACAACTCGCTGCTCAATACCACGAAGGACTACTATCAGTCATTCTCGTCAATGCTGAACAGTTCCTTTTCCGAATCTGCAATGAGTTTCAAGAATGCATACACCATCTTTGACTACCTTAACGTCGGCTATATTCACAACACCACGAACGTCCCGACGGAAGACCAGCTCCACCAGCTGTTCCTGCTGGCGAATATCGAGCAATACAATCTAGCCTACAACTCGTCCGAGACTATCCGCGCTATAGCTGGTGCCATGCTTGCGGGAGACGTCCTCCAGGGCCTTAACAAGACAGTCACATCCAAGGGGAAGACCAAGCTGAATGTCCAATTCGGCTCTTATGGAACGTTCCTATCATACTTCGGTCTCGCCCAGCTACCCGCGGCCGATGTCAACTTCACTGGAATTCCAGATTATGCCTCCTCCATGGCCTGGGAGCTCGTGACGAACTCCTCGGGGGATTTCCCGCCCACCTCCGAGATTAGCGTGCGATTCGTCTTTCATAATGGCACCATTAACGAATCCATGTCCGATAGCCCTACCGCGTACCCACTTTACGGGCAATCGAGCCTCACCATCCCTTGGTCGGACTTTGTCGACCGAACTGAAAAGATCGCTGTTACCTCGACGTCGCAGTGGTGCCAGATGTGCGGCAACACCAACGGCCAATGTGCATCCTACTCGAACAGCTCCGATTCTGGCTCCACTGTCCAGACTCAGTCGAGCAGTGGTATCTCCAGGCCGGTCGCTGGTGTCATTGGTGCCATGGTCACCCTGGCGGTGATCCTGGGCGTGGAGGCGCTTTTCCTCCTCGTTGGAGGGTTCCGCATAATCAAGAAAAGAGCGGCTGTGGCGGACGCTGCTGTGGATGAGGACAAACCGGAGTAAGCTGGGCGAACAAATTAATCCGCAACGTATCAAAATTGACGAGTTTGGATGACCTGATAATTCTGCTGGTGACTATTTCTCATGTCTGTTTCGCCCTTTCGGGCTCCAGTTTGTAGCCTTCCTCCGGTTAGCTCATATCACCAGCATTTTGTCCCACCTTCTCAAACCACCGTAGAACGCGGAAAAGTGTAAAGTGCGGCGTAATCCAAATTTTGATTCTGCAGTTGCTTCAACTCAAGTATCAATATCGGGGCACACATGAGGAAGAACCATATTGAAGAGATGAACATCCCATGAACATAAAGCAGGAACAGCCGGTAAACAGCGCCAGTACTTACCAAATGAGCTCGTCTTAGCTTCGCCTTGCGGCTACTAGACTCCAGTACCACGGTGAGGTGCGAGCTCGTCACTGGAGACCCGCGGCCTGTCCAAGAGCTGTCAGGCCACGGGCACCCGCTATTCGCTGGGATTTGAGCCTGCTGTACGCAAGGCAAGACTAGCTAGAACCTGTGTTTCACTGGGTGTTGAACCCGTTATTCCACAGGCAGTGGCCTAGCTAGCACCCGCTCTTCGCTGGGATTTGAAGTCTCATCTGCACTGGGGCTCAAAGACCCGTTATGCTGCGAGACTTGAAGGTTCCTTGTACACTGGGGCTCAAAGACCCGTTATGCACAGGGACCTGAAACGGAGTAAGTAGATGTCAGAAGATCAAGCAAGACAGATAATGCAAATATGGCAAATATGACAAGCAGGGGAAGCAGGTGAAGCAGGGGAAGCAGGTGAAGCAGGTGAAGCAGGTGAAGCAGGTGAAGCAGGTGAAGCAGGTGAAGCAGGTGAAGCAGGTGAAGCAGGTGAAGCAG